GGACATGGTTTAGTGGGCATGGTGGTGTTGGGTCGATGGTTGGACTCGATGATCTTAGAGGTCTTTTCCAACCTCAATGATTCTATGATTATGCTGCCTTAGACATTTATAGCTTGTAACAGAGCACAGGTCTACAGTCAACCAAACGCACAACACAGGAAGACAGACCTTAAAGGTAAATAATTCAGGGCTTGAATTCTTTAAGGTAAATAATTTAGGGCTCTAATGAACTTGCTGACTGTAAATAGGGAGTTCCACTGCTAGGAACCCTCCAAACTGCCCTACATCCAATCCTCACGAGTGCAGGGCAGAAAACTGTCAGCAAAAACACACCTCAAATATTTCTGGCTATAGCAGCAAGGACTCTGTCTAACGCAAAAGGAGTCTCGGATAGGAAAAGGCAGCTTCACAGACTGGTTCCAGTGCTTTGTACTGTACCCATGAGCTGCTGAAAAGGAGGTGTAAATTCAGAAACATCACCTGGGCAAGCAGTGAGGTGGTCTGTGAAGCAAGGTAGCTGACCCATGCTGTGTCACTTGGAAGCATCGGAAAAACCCTTCAAAGATAGCCAATGCAGCAATTTGGTCCAGAGGTGCTAAAAGCACATGTGACTATGGGTGAGGCTGTAAGCTCTTTGCTAAATAAGATAGCCCGTAGATGAAAAGGAACCAGACAAACCCCCGACTCCTTCTCACTTCACAATCTCTCCTCCCTATCCTCTTAGAAAATTGGCTATGGTCAAGTGCTTTTATCAACACCTGGGAATTCCTGTGCATCCGTCAAAAAGCATCTCAGCCAGACAAAATCCATCAGCAAACCACGGTATCAATCCTCATCAATTCTTAAATTACCAGCAAGTCTCAGCCTTCCCAGCCTGCATCCTCTAGTTCCAAGGAGTCACTCACAAGCAGCAACTATTCCTGACCAAGCAAGGAAACGCTATTAAAATGGAGATACAGCAAATTGTCAGTTATACAATGTTGTTGCTGCTAAAAAAACCTCTGAGGGTTTTTATGCTGTCTCACACATACATAAAGTAGTATGTAAAAACACCCTGGAGTTGCCTCACACCCTCTTACGAGACCTACATGAAACCAGACCGTGAAAGAAAACCCCGCCTTTCGCCGCCAGACACGGGCACGTCAGCAGCAATAGCCAAGGCACT